TTTGTATTTTTGAAGAAAAATAGCTATAGGCAATCTGAGAAAAATAAATATTGGAAGTTTAAAATATCAAGGCTATTTTGGCCTATGGCAAGAACGTATATCCCTAAAGAAAATGGTTTCCAAATGAGACATTTATTGCATCAGCAGTATTAACTGGAGAGCTTTTAGGAAAGATTTCCAGGCTCTACCCCGCAAGATTGTAAGATTGGGAGGAGGGGAGGACTGCTGGAATCTATTTAATATGCTCCCTAGGTGATCCAAGCAGCAAGGGTTGGAAATGACTATTTTTGCCTTATTTGGGTTCTTTTTACTCACAAAGTGAATTATTCTGCTGAAGCACCTAAGAGCCTGTCCCTGTGTGCTCAGAGACACGGCTCCAGCAATCCTCTGCTCCTGTGTTTGCCACAGGTAAGGAGTATTAGATCCAAACCCCCATCTTGTAGACACAGTTCTAACAGGTCTCTCTCTCTTGTCTTTCTCTCTACTAGATTATTCCCATAAGCATAATAAACATGCTATTAAAAATCTTATGCTCTTATAATCCCTCTTTAGCTATTATCCTCTTTTTCTGCTCTGTAATCTTTATAGCAAAACTCAAGAATTTTCTAAACTTCTAATCTTCCTGCTCCCCTTTTTTTCCAACTTCTATTAGGAAAAAATTCAGACAGAAAAGCTGAAAGAACAGTCCAGTGATCCACTTAAAGTGAACAATTATGTTGCCATACTTGCTTTATGGGTATTTATTTTTTAACTTTCAAAAAATGTACAGTAGTTCCCCCCTTTTCTGCAGGGGATATGTTCCAAGAGCCCCAATGCCTGAAACCACGGATAGTACTGAATCCTAAATATACTTTGTTTTTTCCTATACATACCTATGATAAAGTTTAATTTATAGATTAGGCACAGTAAGAGAATAGCTGAATTGCCACCATCACTACTCTTGTGCTTTGTGGTCATTAAGTAAAATAAGGGTTACTTGAACACAAGCACTGACAGTTGATCTGATAACTGAGATGGCTACTGACTAATGGGCGGGTAGCCTATACAGCTTGGATACCCTGGTCAAAGGGATGATTCAAGTCATCGGTGGGGCAGAACAGGATGATGAGAGATTTCACCACGTCGTCAGAATGGTGTGGCAATTTAAAATTTCTGAATTGTCTTATTTCTGGAATTTTCCACTTTATTTTCAGACTGGGGTTGACTGCGGGTAACTGAAAGCAAAACTGAAAGCAAAACCATGGATAAGGGGAGACTACTGTATACATGACGCATCTCCTAATAAGGTGGTTCTATATAAATATACTTCAATACCATTATGTCATTTAAAATAATACTTCCCTAATTTAACATCTAGTCTATATTCACATTTTCCCATTTGTCCCCAAAATGTCTTTTGCAGCTTTTTTTCTTGCTAAAGTAGGATTCAATCAAGATTCTGACTTCCTAGAACTAGGCCCGCTGTCTTGTTGAATGTTTCTCTGTGGTGTCATTAATTTAACCTCTTCTATGCTTTCGAACTTCCTGTAAATTGGAAGCTAGGTCTATAGTTTTATTAGTTTCAGCTTAAACATTTTGTGTAAGAATGCAAGATTATGTTATGTTCTCCATATTATATCACACAATGTATGGCTGTCCCAGACTAGTGATAAGTTTGGACACTTGTTAGGTCATCTGATAGGTGATGCCTATCAGGCTTTGTCTTCACTACTCTACTCCTCTTATTAGTCACCAATGATTTCCACATTGCTACATCTAATCAACATTTGACTTTGAAACCCTTTCTTCAGTTGGCTTGCAAGATACCACACTTGCCTGATTTTCCTCCTACTTTACTGCCTGCTCCTGTTTATCTGGTTCCTTTGTAAAACTGTTTTGTTTTGTTTCGCTGCTAGTCCAGTCTTCATTTCTCTGACCATTAAAACATAGGTATGCCCCAGAGTTTGACCTTGGACTTCTTGCCTTCTCTGTTCATACTCACTTTGGTGATCTAATCTAATCGTAAAGACATCAGATTATATTCACTTCCCTATGTGACATTTCCATTTGGGTATCTAATAGAGGTCTTAAAACTTATGCCCAAAACCAAACTCCTTGTTTTTGCCTCTTAAACTTTTCCTCCTAATCATACCCAATCAGTTAATGGTATTTCCCTTCTTCTAGATTCTCAGCCAAAAAAGTTCTGAATTTCTCATGGATGAATCTTGGTTCCATCTAAAGTCTCACCATCTCTATTCTTACTGTCATCCAAGACATTATCATGTCTTGCCTGAATTTCAGGGATCTAGTTGGTCTTTGTTTTGCCTCATTTGTGTCTCCTCACCCATCCAAGTCTATCCTCATAGCAGTCAGTGATCCTTTAAAGGGGCTAGGTCTTTTACTTAGATGGCTTCCTACCTGAGTAAAAGTCAAAAACCTTACAGTGGTCTACAGGGCCCTAAATTACCTGCACTCCATCCTACCTCATTCAGTTCCTAGTCTTCCTCTTGCTCACTCTGCCTATCCCACACTGGCCACCCCTGCTGTTCCTCCAGTGCAGCTTGGATACTCCTGCCTTAGGACCCTTGTTATTGCTGTTCTCTACCTACAATGCACTTCTCCCATAAAACTTCATGGGTAAATGTTGTACCAACTTTGAGTTTTTGTTCAAATGTAATCTCAATGAGGCCTGCTCTGACTACTGTTTAAATCTGCAGCCTGGTATTCCGGTTCTTTTATTCTATAACATACAATATAATTGTCTGTTCTACTCCCTCTGCTAGAATGTAGTAAGGGCAAAGATCTTTGTTTACTGAAGAATCACAAGTGCCTGGTACAGTGCCTGGCACATGGAATGTGCTCAGTAAATGTTTTTTGGGTGAACTTCAAACTATACTTCAGGTTTTCAGATTAGTATTTCATTGAACAAAAGATTTAGTGAATCAGAATATCCCATTGGTAAGGTATTTTGGTTGAGGATTTATTGTATTTATTAAGGAATGGACACAGAATTGAGCTGACATCTCATAGGCTGGCTTGAGGGTTTGGTGCTCCATTAATGATAACTACAAATGAGCTTCATGTTTTAATTTTATAGCTTTTTTGGGTATTCGCTATGAAAATAGGACAGTTTCCATCCTGCTATTCTCTTACCTAATATCTTTAGGTGGTAAGAAAAATCAAAGTGGTTCAGTGCATGACATGCTTATTAGGTAGCATGAATTCAACTGAGTGCCCAGCAAAATTTAAAAAAAGTAAAGCAGGGCTACTTCTACTCAGGGCAGGTCAGACAGACATGAGTCTGCTGCACTGTGTGAGGCCGGTTCCTTGGTACTTTGCAGTACTGTAAGCATTTTGCTGTGTCAGTCCGTCGTTGAAAGAAATGGTTTCTCAACACAATTTTTTATGGTGCTCATCTGTACCATTTGAAAGCTGGAGGAAATCACATTGTAGATATTGACAGTGTGTTCATATTAACAAGATATTGGAAAACCTTTCCCACTGCTGACTGCCTCACTTAAATAGGCAATAAATGAAAAAATCCTTAAAATCATTCACACATTCTTTTCCTAGATTTTACCAACCGTTGTCAAAAATGCAACACATGGTTGAGGGCACATTTGACTGGCCAGGAATGACTATAGAATCCTGAGAAAAAATATTGAGCTAGTTGCTGTGAAGATGAATCATGGAGCCTTCACATAATTAATAGAAATTGATGCTTTGATCATATCCATTTGGCAGAGGCTCTGCTCCATGCCTTATTCAGGGACCCCTGAGATGAAAGAGACTCTGCCTTTAACACATGGATTCCAAGGTGTCAAAAGCCTCTTATTTGTCCAGTTTCTTCCTTGTGGTGGTTGTGTTTGCATATCATAAATTTCCTTAATTTCCAAGTTGACAGCCCTTTGTGCATACGTATATGTGTTTAAATTCTGCTGAATAAGAAATCCTGGCATCTTTTAGATGAAGAAGATAAGACATATTTAATTTACCTTAACTAATGCTATCTGGTGATTGTCTTTCTCAAAGCTCTGTAGGGCTAGAGACTTTCTGCTCTGGCTCACAGTTGATTATTTCTGGTACCTTGCGATGTCCCTTTCTTTTTAACTCTGGCAACACTGTGACATTCGTTTTTGGAGCAGGAAGAGCGGCAAGGGAGCAGTTATCCAATAATGTCATCTCAGCCCATCATGTTTGTCAGAGGGCTAAGATACTTTTTATACTCATACCTCCTTTATACTCCAGAATTAATGAGGTTTGTTACTTACTAAATTTGTTTATATTAAATTTAAAAATAATGTTATACATTAAAGTTGTCCTCAAAGCACAAACAAAGGCCTGCAATTACATGGTTGGTTCTAAGTTTTGCAAACCCAAACAGTTTTTACTGAGTTTGGACTTCTTGTCTCCTGGTCATATTTGCATGGTAATTTTAGTATGTTAGTGAGTAGTCTTAAAGACATGTCCCAGAATTCTCTTGGGAGTAGAATATTAAATAATGAACTTGAGGTATCTTTGTTTCATTGTCTTCATATGTTCTTGTCATGGAAGAGATCTAGATGTCATTTCCTCTGGGCCTTATAAAGCTGAGATGCCATTTGTAAAGGCCTAACAGGCTCTAAGACTCAATGATAGGTCATCCTCAAGTAGAATATTTACTGCCTTTAAGCATAAAGCCAAACAACTTGGGAATTTTTAAGCTGTAAGACTAAAGGAAATGGGGCAGCAGAGGCAGTTGTAGAACCTATGTAGTCACTAGGAGAAATAAGGCCTATAGGATATTCATCTTATTACACAGTTTACTAAAGTGAGGAATGCCAGTACAAGAAACTGGGGGAGCAGGAATGAGTACTATTCAATCAAATGCAAATAATTTATACTCCTGGATAAGGGGATTTATTACATTTATACATTATTTTGTTCAAGAACAATTTATTCGTAATTTAGTAATGACTGAAAATTACAGTGGCAATGTGAGAGAGGTTTTAGTTACAATATAAGTGCATTTATTAGATTCTGAAGTACTCAAAAGGTGTTTCGATATATTCCTATTTGGAGTTAGCAGTCTACTTACTGGTCACACATCACACAGGGATTACACATTTCATTTCTCGCCAAAACAGTCTTCCTCTAGTGGTATGTAAATATGACTGGTCTCCTTTTTCTCTTAAGCTAAATGTGATCCTTCTAATTTCATTCATTTGCTTTCTAGCAGCCTCCCCATGTTAGCCTTGCCACATGGTCAGTCTTCTGTCTGGTAGGTTTTATAAATCCTAAAAGTTCCAATTCAGAAACAGCTCTAATAAACCGAGCACTGGGGGCTATAGCTAAGGAAATTAACCATGTTGTATTTTTGATAAAAAGAAGTTAAAATCTCAATGTTAAAACATTAGTTGGTAAAGTGAAGTATAGTTCAAATATATACTTCCTTTTTTTGTGTGTGAGGAAGATTAGCCCTGAGCTAACATCCGTGCCCATCTTCCTCTACTTTATATGGGACGCTGCCACAGCATGGCTTGACAAGTGATACGTCGGTCCGTGCCCGGGATCCGAACCTGTGAACCCTGGGCCGCCGAAGTGGAGCATGCGAACTTTGCTACGCCACTGGGCCAGCTCCCAAATATATACTCCTAAATTAAACTATAACCCCTACTGGAAAACATTAAATGTAATTAGAATCCATTGTCAAGAAGACACAAATGGAAAAGTGCTTAATGCTTACCTAATTCTAATTTTTCACATAGTATGAAAATTGCTCTCCCCTGCCCCCCCCAAGTCTATAAGTACATAAATAACCTTAGAAAAATAGAGAATTTAATAAGGACAGTTTTGGACATTTTTTTATGAATTTTGGAACGTGACCTTGATAAAAGTTTTAGACCAAGTATTTCAGATTTGGTCTCATTTTAGATTAAATTCAGAATGAATATTTAGAAACAAGTTATTCTGCGATGGTATGGTTAATATTAATAAGTAATAAGGTTGTCTGGAGCATGTCTTTATAAATCTCTAATGCAGATCTGGAGAAACTATAATATTCATATGTATACTTGGACATGATAGAATTGGTTTTAAAAGGATACTGGATAATTTCATTCCTTTCTTCTGAGGTTATAGAATTTGCATCCAGTTTTTCAGCAGCTGTCACAACTGTTGCAAAAGCCTTTTGAGAGAGACAACACAGAAGAAAATAAAAATCTCTACTGTTGCCAGACATCTTTTATTGCACTTGATAGCTCTATATTAAGCCAGGTGAAGCACTGCTGCTGCTGATAGCTGGCACATTTTTTTTTATTACACCAAATTTCAGATTCTCAAAATGACACTGATGATTACTTTAAATCAGATACACATTAAAAGAGAATGGAGTGGTTCCTGAATAGTCTTTATGTTTCAGAGAACTAAGAAGTGTGCAGCAAAAAACAAGAAAACTAGTCAAAGTTGAAAAGCAAAGGATGCCCTGTATCCTCTACTCCCCAACCTCCATTACCCCAGGAAAATGCCTATTTTTTCTTGGAAGTAGCCAATTATGCGTATTTTATATGGTGACAAGACATCTGTCCAATAGGGCCTTCAACAGAGTTAACTTTGTAATAGTCTTCTGAGAAGGGAAAGAATAGTTACTTAATAACAACAGTTATCCATTGCCTTGCCAAGTATTCCTTGTGCTTCCTGATTACAGCTTAAATCTACACAACTTAAATCTGTTGTGTAATTATTCCAATGTTTTTTTCTTTTGTGCAATAAGAGAAATACTAGTTAATATACTTTTTTATTCTGTTGAATAACAGAACCAACTGTGGGGTTAGATCACATACTTATTTTGACCTGGCATGAATGCAGAATTGGCTTGGTTGAGGGATCCGGGTGCGGGGGATTAGGAGTGGGACTGTTGAGCAGTTAGCTGCTTTTCTGGAGGAAATTTGAAGTATGAGGTGATTTATGCTTTCCAAACAAAAGATAGGGCATTAAAAAAAATAAGAGTTTCAAAGTACCAAAAGTATAAACACATCCCAGGAAAGTTGTCATGGATGGTTAGACAAATAAACAGCTTACTCTTTTCTCCCTGACCTACCTCTGACCAGTCCACAAGGTTGATCAACCTGCTACACTCCAGGTGCAGTTTATATGCTATGCAGATGTCGGGGGCAACATTGGGAATGCAGCCTTCTTCACTCTGCAGTGCTTCATTCTAAAAATAACAGTAAATGAAGGACGACTACATTTTAGAAATGATTAGGAACAAAATTGGACGTTAATGAACCCCTAACCTAAATTTAGTAATCCAGTCAGTGGAGTCTTTGGTTTCCTTTATTTAGTGAGTTGCATTTACTCTCCAAAATTTAGCTAGTTCTTGTTAAGGATTAGGTCTTCGTTATAATCCCCCTAGCTCCTAGTCACTAGAAGAAAACTCCCAGGATCAAAAGACAAGCATATTTTTCATTTTAATCATAAATTGTTAATTTCTTCTCATTTTAATCATACATTATTTATTTCTGACATCCTAATGCATATCTGGTTTCCAAAAAAAAGTTTATGGAATTCTTTGTGGATTTTCAATAAAATGCCACTTCTAATATTTATAATTACCTGAATTCTAGCAGTTACTATACTCTATTAATAAATACCAACACACCACTACCAAGGCTATAAGTTATCTCTCAAAGAAAAGACTGTTCACAGCACTGCAGATCCTAACCCCTACAAAGACAGTGTTTTTTCTTCCTATTTGAAATCCATGGTTCTTACTGAGAGAGAAAATCTCTCTCACACATATGCACAGAGATTATAATGTATTCTCCCAAAGACTGCTGAAATTGCACCAGGTCTCTTCTGTAACCTACCACTAGCCAAAAAACCAGCTGGCACATTCTTCATACATGGAGTCACTTCTTAAGTATTCTTCGTGGCAAGATTTCTAGGTGCCTGAGTCGATAACTTATTAACAAATTTAACTTATTAGCAAAATATCAACAAATTATTTCATGTATATATAACTTACTGAAATATAGCTTGCTGAAATGTTTAAAGTGATCATTTTACTTGGTCATAAGAAAGTTTGTAAAATTCTGAACTGTCTTGAACTCTCTGTGTAAAGAACAGTTTCTTGGAACTAGCAAATGTGTCTGGATTTTAGGAGTTCTATCCCTGGCAGATTGCTGGCCCTCCTCTACACTCAGCTCTGGAGATACGTCTCAGAGTAGATCTTTCTTTGGTTTAAAATCCAAGAGGAAGTCCCAAAGTATTTCTTTTTTCCCTCAGAAACAACCATTTGGATCTTTTAAGTAATTTCACTAAGCTATACTGTTTGACCCATTGTCTACTGTTATGTCTGCAGGAAACATTTCCTTTATTTTCACAATAGTAGTAGCATTATACTCTCGAGTCTTAATGTGTATGATCTGATTTTATCACATGAAGGAGAAGACATGTACACATGATCAAAAGTTGGCAGCATTAGTTGTCTACTGATTGGTGTCTTCACTGGCTTAGAAAACACCCTCAAGTCTAAAGAATTTTTAAAAATATCTGAAAGAGGTACAACCCTGAGCTGCCAACTCCTTACTCATGAGAACTGCAAATTTACAAGATTTTTGTGATAAATAAAGTCTGGGGTCTGAACTAAACTGTCAGAGAAATCAATCTGCTTCTTACCTTGAGATAATAGTAAGGATTGTTGAGTGCAGTGTGGAGGGCGATTCGCGGAGCAGCATTCAGGTGCTCACGAAGGGTGTGGGCAGCACTGAAGTACACCACCTCGTGCAGAGGCTGTGTCTCTGGAGGCAGAAGATATTCTCTGAAACAGCCAAAGTTAGGTGTCAGCTTTTAGATAAGCACAAGTTTATTTTCAATATATTATTTTTGTCAATCCGCGGTGGAAGACTGAGCAATTAATTTACTTAAAGAGCAAAATGAACAATGACCAAAACCAAATGAAACAAAACCCAAATATCAAATCCAGTGTAGATTAACTTAGAATTGTACCTCTTCCATATATTTTTAAACACTTACAGACGCTTTAGAGTACAAGAAAGTATATATTTCAGTTCTGATTTAAACCTTTAGGAACAAGTGTGCATAAATTGCTTTTCTGCTCAAAATCTTTAAGGTAGAATTTCTTAAAGTATTAATGAATACTTTCTTAAAGTAAATTATTTAGAAAACTGAGATATCCACATTCTTTACCATAGCAAACATTTAACTCTTGGCAGTTTTGAACATAGGCCTCAGACCTGGAATGAGTTTAGGAAATTCTTTTTGGATCACAGAAAATGTTTTAATTGATATCTCTCACAGAAATGATACCTTGAAAGCTTTTGATATGTTAGAATTACTTTTTACTTAAGAAGGCAGAGAAGGCTAAATTTTAGCTTCAGAGTATTGAAAAACAAGCACATTGTTATCATTAAAATTTCAATTTTTAAAAAAACCACCGTAATGGGATTTTTCTGTCTTATTTATGAGCTAGATGACAAACCAATTTTAATGAAATCTGAACTTAAAAAATAAATCATTAAAAAGTTCACTTTAAATGTATAATGAGCCCATCAGCTGCTCTGTGCCATGACAGTAACATTGCCCTTGAGTGGCCTGGAAGGTAGTAAACTGGAAGGCAGAAGCTTTGGCACACACAACCCAAAGACAGAGTAATAAGTCACTAACTCGATTAAAGTAGTTAACTCACATGCCTTCATAAAGATTCCTAGGGCTTAGTCCAGTCCTGGGCTTAAAGTATTTTGGTCACATGACAGATTTGTTACAGCTCCTTTTCCCACCAGTGCAGGCAGAACAAAGCAACTACCTCAGCCCAGCCACCAGGAAAATCCCTCTCTTCCTGGTGTCCTGGGTTTCTCCCTTCTGGAGAGGATACCACTGCCTAGAAAATCCTGCTACACCTGCTTCACCTGTGTGGTCAGGGGCTTTGAGGAAGAGAGGAAGTGAAGAGGGTATTAACCATGTACATCACTCATTCACTATCTCCCTTCTCCCTGTCTCAAGAGCTCCTGGCCCCCTGCTCATTCCACTTCTGGATGCTGCTCCTTCTCTCGAGTCAATGGGAATAAAACTCATTTGCAAAGAGTGTATGATTTTGACTTGCCCCGAAGACCAGCATTCTACACCTCAAGTACTACTAACATCTTACTCAAGATTAAGTTAATTTAGCTGTAACTTCGGGAATGGGTGATGCTGACTGCCTCCCTGGACAGGTGAACTACCCCTTTGTAATTTCTGACCATAAACTCTTCCTATACCAACCTCAGGCTGTTTCTCCCCAATCATTACAAGACCCTGTTGAAGTCCTTGCTCTCTAATAAGGACTGGAAATCCAACAAGGCAACCAGAGTCAATTTCAGAGAAACTACTGTCTCATGTTTGTACTCCTCTCCCTTTTAAACATCTTTATTTTGTTTAGAAATTCAGTTAATTCCCAAGGCAAAAAGCCTTTGGATATCCTCAAAGAACCTCCATTAGAGGCAAAATAAAATATTTGCCTATACTTCGTTTCCACTGGGCTGTTAGTTGAACAACAGTAACCAAACATCATCATATATTAGAATTTTTGTCTAACTGCACTTGGAGATTGGCATAAAAATAGACTTCTGCATCTTATTTGCTGTGAGAAGAAATAAGCAGTGAGTTTGGCACTAGAGCATTGGACGATGCTGATTTTGGATTCAGATCAGAGTTCACAAGCAAAAGAAAGGTGGTTTTGAGGGAACTGGTAGCACCACTTAATAACAACAAGGCTACAAAGTTGAAGCTTGTATTTTGGTGAAAACAGTAACTTAGGAAGTGACAACTTACTCTCTGCTCTCACTAGTTTCAGCAAGAGCTGCTCATGGTATACTGGGAATCCTGCCTCCTGGAGTCTACTGCTTATATTTATCTTGATAGGACATCCTTTCTCCAGAACGCCAAGCTGTGGTCAAATATCTGTGATGTGGTCCTTGGGGACAGTCTGGAGAAATGGAGAGGGCCTTCTGACAGATGTCAGCAGACTGGGACTGTGTGACTTTCCACAAGTCACAGCCTCTCTCTAGACTTTAGCTGCCACATGACTCCTCAGGTCCCTTTTAGCTCTAACATGCTATAATCCTAATCTCTTCCCTCCTGGGATAGTCGATCTTGGTAAAGACAGTAAATCCTAGTATGGCAAATTTTATGATTTCACAACACATTTCAGTCATGCTCAGCTTTGTTTCATTAACTGCTCAGAAAGGTAAAAAGTCAGACATGTTAGGTCAAAGATCACAAAAGGGGAATGGTTTGTTTGGTTTCAGAGCCTACAATTTGGGATTTGTGGGAACTCAGAAAGGAACCTGACATTTGGCCTATAAATTATGCTAAATTACATGGCAAAATTATTTTTTAGCAACTACACAAGTCACAACTTGGTAAAAGGGAAGAGCCAGGAACTTGGGGCTAGAAACTACAAGAGCAGGAAAGCCCAGAAGGGCAAGGTTAACTATATGAGTTCTAAAAGGGCATTTCTGGCCAATAGGTCAGTTCAATATTGCATTGCATCACTTTTATATGACACATTTCCCTCACTTTAACCTTCCCTTTGTCACACTTGGTTGATCATTTGGATCTCTTTCATGACATTAGTAATTTCTCCCTAATGACTCGAACAATCACTCTGCCCCTACATTGTCCTGGAAAATGTTCACTTTGAAGAAATATAGGTAATTTATCAGAAAACCACTCTTTGTCTTCAATAACTGAGCTGCTATTTTCTTAGTACTAGTGCCTAGCCTGCTGTTGAGTTTGAATTGCCATTAAAAAACAGAATAAGCAATGATAAGTAAGTTATTTCCTACTTTTTAACTATTAAATCATTTTATTTTTCACACCTCTTATTTTTTTCGATGGCATGTCCCAATTGCCTGAAAGGCAGCTCAGGTGGGTGATTTTACACAGCTACATAAAGCTGGCTTTTGGGATATCCATGAATCAGAATGACATAGGTGTCCCAAAAAGGAATCATCTTAAAATACACGTGGATTTCTAAATTTACTATGAGTACATTTCTCAACATGAATTTAATGCTGATAATGAGTTGCACTGGTATTCTTTAGAATTACAAGTCCTTTACTCAGGATAAAATAGGGCATTACAGCTAGTCTGCTCTGTCTGTTTTCTGGGCTTGGCCCAGATCCAGCAATTCTTAGCAAAGATAAAGGGCACTGCAAACACTTTGTTATTAGAAAGGAGACACTCAGTTTCTGTTTCCACCCCCAGCGCCACCCCTGCCCTACCTAATGAACTAGATTAAATTTAAACCTGTGTTCTTGAACTGGCAGTAAAAGAATGAACTAAGTCATTTGATTAGACATCCTAATAAGGATGGAAAAGGAATCAAAATTACAATTCTAAACTGGATGGAGGAACCTGAAAAGCATAAAGCCTAATCTAGGAGAAGGTGTCCTAGATTGGCTAGGGACAGCTATCACACCAGTGTTATTTGGGAAAATAGCCTGGGTTTTAGCTCTTAAGAGCAACAGACTCACCTCACCAGACTGTCAATGAAGTTCACAACTTTTTCTCTGAGTACTTCAAACTTGGTCTGCTTCTTACTGGTTCTTCTTAACTCCTTCATTTCCAGTAAGGACTATGGATGAAAGAACCTTTTCTGGTGATTCTCAGACAGAACACCCCTAAGAGGGCAGCTCTGTTGCTTAGGCAGAGGCGGCTGATGCCCTTTCCATAAAACAAAATGTGCAAAGCAAGAACCAGATCAAAATAGATTGTGTTTATTTATTTTTAAAGCCTGGAAAGAATCTCTCCTTGTAGGTATTTTGCTTCAAATATATATCAAGTGAATTTTCAGAGAAAGAGGAAAAGGGCAGTTCACCTCGTTATTAAGTCACTGTCCACAACCTGCTACTTCATTTAAGTAAAGGACTTAGAAGAAAAAGAAAAAAACCCCTTGCCCTTTTGCCATACCAACAGAACAGACTCATGTGTTTTGTTTTGCTTAAATTGAAATTTTACTCTACGTTTATCATAATTTGGTATGAGGGTACAAAGAAGGTTCTTTACTTTGACAACCAAGATCCTAAAGTTAGAACTACCTGAAAAAGATTATATTAGACATACACTGTGGCTCAATTTCTGCTCTACACTGAATATGCATTAAAAAAAATCAAGAAAAGTATCTAAAACTAATAAGTTTTGGATCTCTCTGTTTGATCAAACTTGAAGACAAATACATCAGATAAATAATCAGATTACTTTTTTTGCAACCATGTTCCCATTTTCCCTTATTGCTAGTTAATTCTTTTTCTCTCTCTGAGGCTACAGTAACAGTTTTCACCTATTTTAGCTAGTAAATTAGCTAGCATACATGGAGAATGGGAATGGCAGTGGGATAAACAGGACGTTCAATTTATAAGTGAGTTGCAAAGTCTGCTTTGTTTCTGGCTGTAGTTTAAAAATGAAAACAGTATCCACGTAGAACTAATCTAGAGCACACACCAAAAAAAGGGAACATCACAGGATGTTGGAAGGAAAAGAAAGTAACCTGACCTTCTGAAGATGATAGAGGTCTGTCTTCTGAAGCCCCTTTGACTGTGACCCAGAAGTATCTTCTTCATCTTTGGCTTCTGCTTTTAATACAAAACCAATATCCATTTACTAGGGTATATCCATTCAAATCAAGAGAACAAACATTTCTACTACTGGAGGAAAATAAAGTTTCATTTTTTTTTAATGTGTCAAGGGATCAAGCTTCCATCAGATAAATGATTTCTTCCAGAAGCTGAAGGTCAATAAATATTACATAAATTATGCTACAGAGAAGTCTTCAAAAAACCAGCTACTGTATTTTTTAAAATGTGACCACAAGGACAACAAAACAAAATACAAACAAAACCCCCAAACCAACAGCAAAAAGCTCCAAATCTTTGTGCTGCTATAAATAGCTTTTAAAAAACAAACAAACCAATTTATACTGTATTCCTTTGATTATGTCAAGATTGTAAAAAATACAAACCTACACTCTGGCAAACTTGGCCTCAATCTTCCAGTTCACTATTTTTGATACAACGTTATTTGAGTACGAAGAGGGTAGTGCATAAAAGTTCTCAAATATTCTACTAAAACGCAAAGTGCATCATGGTTCTTTAGCAAAGGGAACAGAAAATCACACCTGGCAAAAGGTGTAGGTGTGCTTCTAGAGAGCATGAGGCCCTAATACCCACCCTCCTCCTAGTGCAGGGCAGATTTTAGGAACCTCACACTCACATGCCTGATTTGTCCTAAATCTAAGACAGGAGGATGATGCTGGAGAATCTGCATTGTTCTCAAAGAACAAATTTCCTTTTAGCCATGGATAATTCTTGGTTCAACAAAGATATAATTTAAAGTTAAAATATCTAATAAATTATTTGTCCCATTTCATTACCATGTAGCAGAGCCTTAAAAATAAATCTGATATGACACTGTGACCTACTTAACCCTCCAAATGTAATTTTAAACCCAGACTGTAATATGTAATAATTGTTAAGGAACCAGAGATAGCATATAGCAAATATTTCTACTTGTCCAACGTGGGGGGTTTAATTTCACTTATTATTATTAACAATGTGTCCCTTACTCTCCACCTTCCCATTTCTAAAAGCTGCATTCCTTTATTTAGTATTAGCACATCACAGAATTTGTTCACTAGCTTATGTTACATAAACTTTAATTAAAATTATAATATCTGCAATTTCATTTTATAAAAATCCCTATGAGTCTAATTTTGTAAAAGATTGAAATTTACCTAATTTATCTTATATTCTTCTAAGTCTTTTACCCTATTTATGTCCTTAAGGGTGGCCCCTTACTGTCCCAGTGACCATAATTCGGGGGACATTTAAATTGTGAATCAGTGAAAAAAAAAACAATGAGCTGGTGGTTAAGAGAGGCGGGCTCTAGTCCGGGTGCTACCAATGGCTAGCTGTGGCATCTTGAGCAAGTTACTTTCTCTTCCTGGGCTTTAGTTTCTGTTTGTAGCTGTACTCAATGATCTCTGTGATACCAATTTCCAGCCCTTTAAAATTTTTATGATTTGAAAAATGGTTCAGCTCAGGCTGTAGTGCAAAAGAGCAATGCCTACACATAACTTGGAAGGAACCGCCTCAGTACTGTCGAGTACTTCATCCTAGCTGCTCATGCCACTGAGAGTCAAGCAAACTTTCTCTTTCACTTTCCATTGACTAAGCACTCATCAGGTACATAGCATTGCAGCTATGGAGAGACATGGAGGGATTTCAGCAAAAGCAGTTTCCTAAATCCAAAGGATTTTCAAGACAAAGAAACACTTGCCAAACAAAGAAATGATACAGACATTCCAAGTGAAATATTTTCACCATGCCATGTCCAATCTATGTGCTTATACACCCAACTGCCTCTTTTTCCCAAACTCCGTTAAAAATTTCCCTAACTAGGGGAAAATAAAAGGTGCACACTCATTTTGTTTGTTTTACCAAAAAGAATATCATACTTTGGTGCTAGAAGTAGGGCAAGAGAAGAGCCCATGAAGTTAATGATCAGTATCAATCCATGGTACCCCATTACAACAAAGAAGTCCTGAAGCATTAGAGAACAGAACATGGCTACCTGTACACAATCAGGCGCCCCGAGCATTGAGCAAATACAAATGACTGTGTGGAGGTCAAAACCAAGGCAACTGTAACCCTCCAACACTGAGGAATGCCAAGCTTCCTCAGTTCATTTAGGACTGAAAGACTAAAGATTTTGTAAATCTGATTAAAGCAAACCTCATGCATATTTTGGTAATCAGCATACCAATGAGCCTCATTGCTATGAAAGCAGTTCACAGCTATTCATTTTTCAGGCTTACAAATGATTTATGCAGTGTTTTTGAAATCTATAAAGAACTTAATGAAATGCTTAAGAAAAAACATCTAAAAGGAGTCCTTAATTATGATACCATGCTACTCTCTCCAATCTTTTTGATTCCTGTTGTTGCCATTATTTTTTTTAAGGTAAGTCCTCCAGACTTTCCATCTGGAAAAAGAATTTTTTTTTTCTGCCCATTTGATGCTTTTCATCATTTAAACCAAATCTAAAAGAGAACCATTTAGCCTATTTGTGATTGTGGTTGAGGCTGGGTATACTGACTGCTCATGAACTACTTTATCTCTTCATCTCTCAACACATCAGAATGTGGGGTTTTCCATGCTATTTTAGTTAAATGACTGTCATGGCCAGTAGAATTGGCAAGATATTATGTTCTCACCATCAAGGCTCTGAAACTGGGCCAGGAGCTCCTCTATTCTCTTTGCTGTGCTGCCAAGCTGCTTTTCAGAAGAGGACTTAAAAACCTTGAAACATTTCTCAAGTATGGTCATCAGTTCATCCTTTGCCAACATCCTAGAACAGAATCAGTGACAGATGTAATATAACTGGAAAATTAATATACTTAAAAAACATTGTCTACATATTAAATGTTTCTGGTCAGAAGACAATGGTGTAAATTCTTCATTAGTAGCTACCAACTTTTTTTGGAGAGATTTTCCTCAGTGTATGTGACAGTCAGAAGTATTCAGAAGAGTTCTCACATAAAACTCAACTGAGAAAATTTACAAAGATCTGGGTTCACAGCCTGGCTCTGGCACTTACTATGTCTGTAACACAGAAGAAGTTACTAAACATCTCTCTCTGATCCTTGGTTTCCTTGTCTGTAAAATGAAAATAAGAACTCATATATTTCATAGGTTAGATGGAGGCTTAAAAATTAAATGAGAAGACACATTTGAAAAATATAGCACAGAGCTTACCACACAGCAGGCATTTAAGGTTAGTTTCCCTCTCCTTCAGATCTAAATGTAAATATGAGACAAGAAATGTCCTCTGACGATAGAACACTTAGGCTAAATGAAAGCTTATTTGAAATGACCAAAAGAGTAGCACAATCATTTGTCTAATTGTTACCATTTTAGCCAAGCTTTACATCTTCCACGGGCTTTATAAACATCAGTCAGTAAATCCACTGAACTTTAAACAAGGTAGGCAATTCTGCACACGTAGAATGGTTGTGTAACTCATTCAAAGCTATAGAGGAAATCTTTGTTAGAAATGGAGAACACAGATATTCTAAAATTAGGATCCTGTTCTCAGAGCCATTACTTATAGGATCTCTCCACTAAGATCATATTCAGTAACAGAATGAAAAGGAACCAGGTCAGTATTAGTAATTATTAATTGCCATGACACAAGTATACAAATTAGTCTCAGCAAACAGACCTAAATCGTCAAGAGTACAGTGATTAAAAGTTTTTATATTAATCATCAAGAAACAATCAGACAAATCCAGAATGTGGGCTATTTTGCAAGATAACTATCTTATGTTTGACATTTTTCATAATAAAAAATTGGGGAAAAATACTAATACTCCTAAGTTAGGAAAAAGAGATATAAAGCTAGGTAGATTATAACTACTGAGAAATTAAGCTGGTTACTTCAACTAAAACTTAAATCAAAAAATTAAAAAATGTCAACCAATAAATACAGAAACTGGTAGGGATGGGCAAAAAGTAAACTTTTCCCTAGTTTTAAGAAAAAGTATAAACTCTTCTCTTCCTCTTTCTACAACAGTGAAATAATTATCCAAAGTGTTTTCTTTATCTGTGAATGAAAGGCCGCTAACAGGTCGAAGAAAACTAAACCGACACATTTAATTCTTGATTACATTTGAGATTATTTACAACCTCTGGCTTTCTATTGCGCAGATGGAGTTAAACTGTTAAGAGAAGAGAGTTAATCACTCAGTCTTGATGCACTTGAACAATCTGTTATACCTGACCTACAGCCCTACTCAAATGGACAAGATCAGCATTTCCAGGGTCCAAGGAATCACTGGCACTGGCTTGCTGGGAAGGGCAAAGAGGCTGCAAGAATGGTGGCGAAGGGCGAACCCACATCAGCAGCACCCTAAGGACTAGCTTCCTAGGCTACAGGCAGCCACACCTCACATCTATTTGCAGCTTGCAAAATTGAATATCAAGGAAGGCAAAGCGTAGACTATTATTCATTTTCAAGGTGCAAGAAAAAATGGCATTATGTCATAAAATTTTTAAATCAAACTTTATTAGTCATAACTTTTAATATGACATTTGATTGGAAGGGGTAGATCTTTCACCTTAGATGTAAACTTCCAGGGATTCAGATAATTATTACTCTTTTTATTCTTAGCCAAAAATTTTGTTCTTATTGTTTCCAGAGTAGCAAAAGATCTTAAACTTTTCAAAGTACTCTCTGGTTTAAAATAAAAGAAGACTTGAAGTAAGGCTGATTAGAGCTAATAATGTGATCAACCCAATAAAGTCATTAATTAAGATTTTTTCAATTAAATTATATATACTCACAAAGAATCAACAAAGATGCCTGCTATCATCACTATTATTCAACATCATTCTAGAGTTTAGTCACTACAACAAATTAAGAAAAAAGAAGCAAGTGGTATAAACATCAGCAGGAAGATGAAATTTATTATGTGCATATGATATGACTATAAGGTTAGAAAATCTAACTGTGGAAGTCTTAGAGTGTAAAAAGGTGTGTGGATATAAGACAAATATATATGTGTGTGTATATACACAGACGTGTGTTAATACTTTGCATATACGGTAATCAATATTGTAGTTTAAACCTATTTAAGAAAAAAGAGCATGTTCAAAATGGCAACACAAACTATAGAATACACAGTAATATACTTTATAACAAATGTGTAAGACATAAAAAATGAAAGCCCTGAATAAATGAATAGACATTTTTAAGTTCTAACCCTCAATATTGTAAAGATACAAATTCATTCCAAATTAATCTATATATTTAACACTTTTTGAAAGAAAATTCCAGTGGGTATTTTTTTAAAACCTCATAAAATTATTCTAAAATTTATCTGGAAAAATAATTGTTCCTAAAAAAGAGGAACAATGTATGTATACTTGAGTGTGTGTAGTGGGGCTATCGATATATCAAAAGGTACAATGATTAAAATCAGATGGTACTTGTATAGGAACAGACAGGCCAATAGAAGAGAATAAGAGTCTAGAAAGAGATCAAGGTATATATCGGAATTTGATACATGACATAAAGGTAGCATTACAAATCAGTGGGGAACAGATGGGAGTTTCTGGAAATAACTAGTTTGAAAAAAAACAGATCACTACCTCAATGCATTTCAGATAAAATAAAAATGAGAGTATGGTGTGGGAGTCGGGGAAAGAACCAGTCCATCAACCATAAAATACTAGAAGAAAACAAAGAAAGATACTTAAGCCTGATAATAGCCAGCATGGGCAAGAGTGTGGGGAGCAAATACTGATATATTGTTGGCACAAGTGTACCTTGGTACAATAGTGTTTATATTTTAGACTCAGAAAGTCTGTTTATGTATTTATTTTGTGGAAATAACTATACAAATGTGCAAAAACACACTCACTCTCAGCGATTACTGTTTGTAACAGAGAAGAATTAGAAACAATCCAGAGACCAGCCTAGTGGCGCAAGCGGCTAAGTGCACCTGCTCCGCTGCGGTGGCCTGGGAATCGCCGGTTCGGATTCCGGGCGTGCACCGACACACTGCTTGGCAAGCCATGCTGTGGTGGCGTCCCATATAAAGTGGAGGAAGATGGGCACAGATGTTAGCCCAGGGCCAGTCTTCCTCAGCAAAAAAAAAAAAAAAAGAAGGAGGACTGGCAGATGTTAGCACAGGGCTGATCTCACAAAAAAAATAAACAAAAAGAAACAATCTAAATATATATCAAACAAGGAACTAGTTAAATAAAATGTTACAATTGCAAAACACAGGGTATTACATAGCAGTGATAAATGATGACGTAATACTAGAGATGACAGCTAACATTTATATGCACACATATGTACCAGGCATCATTTGATCTCCACAACACTGTATGATGTAGGTACTATTATTATTCCCATGCTAAGAGATGAGAAAACAGAGGCACAGAAAACTTTAGTAACTTGTCCAGAGTTTGGTAATTGGCACAGCTGGAATTTGAACCCAGTCTGGCTTGGCATCTATGCTTTTACGGACCATACTATACTGTATATCAAGACACAGTGTCTATGGTAGAATATCAGGTGCAAAACAAATAACTACCACTACAAAAACCAACCAAACAAATACAAAAAACAAAAAAATGCAAGTTGTAGAACACTGTATATAGTATGATTTAATATATGTTCGTGCTTGGAAAAAATCTGTAAGTACAAATTGCTAACAGTGGATAACTGGCTTTCAAAGTTATGTAACACCAGGGGTAATATCAGAAAAGTGCTGTTATGTTTTCATTTAGATTACTACTAGAGTGACTCCAACAAGCACTTTGGATAAACCAAACCTAACTGAACAAAATTAATAGAAAACAAAACTTAATTGAAAACTAAAAAATGAAAAATTTAATTTATCCCAAAAGGTTTGTTATATATAGCACCCCAAATCGAAAAGTAAGGACTGAGTCTAGCCACTAGACCAGCATTTTTCAAACTGGGTTTTCAAAATGGGTTTCAACCATTAGTAGTCATGAAACCATTCATTCATTCAATAAATATTTATTGAATGCCTAGTACCTACCAGGCACTGTTCTGGGCATTTGGGATACACCTCAGTGAATCAAAACCCCCTGTCTTCATAAAACTTACACTCTAGCAGGGGTGGGGAAGTGGTGTACAGACCACAAACATTACCTATCTCGTGTTACTATATGTTAAAAATTAGTATTATGGAAAAATATTGAGCAGAGTAAGGGGGGATGGTTTGGGGTGGGCAGGTAGGTTTCAATTTTAAAATGGTTATTAGGCCTCATTGAGAAGATGACATTGACCAAACATGTGTGGGAGGTAAGAGACTTAGCCACACAAATATCTAGAAGAGATTTTCCTGACCGAGAGAACAATGCACGCAAAGGCCTATGGTGGGTGTGCGTCTGGCATGTTAAGGAAGAACAAGGATGCCAAGGTGACTGAAGTAGAAAGAGAGACCAAGTAGTAGGAGATGAAATCAGAGAGGCAATGGGGGGCTAGATCATGTTGGGTCATTGTATAGACTGGGGCTTTTACTCTGAGTGAAAAGGGGAGTTAATGGAGGGTTTTGAACAAAGGAATGACATTATCTGACATATTCTAAAAGGATTATTCTGACTGTTGTTTTGAGAAAAATCTGTAGGGGAACAAGTGTGGAAGCAAGGAAACCAGTTAGGAGGCTCTTGCAATAAGCCAGGTGAGAGATGATGGTGACTTGGTCAATGAGAGAAGGCGGCAAGAAGAGGTTTGATTCTTGATATATTTTGAAGGCAAAACTCAGGTTTTTGGCTTTGACCACAGGAAGATTCTAGGTTTCAGGGGGA